CTTTCCAAAGTGGTTGAACAAGTTTACACTCCCACCAACAATGCTCGAGGCTAGCATTCTACCACTTGAGCCACAGCACCATTTCCAGCTTTTTCTGTTTATGTGGTACTAAGGAATTGAACCCAGGACTTCATGCATGCTAGGCAAGCACTCTACCACTAAGCCAAATTCCCAGCCCAAATGCTATGTTTTAAAGTATATGTTAGCTTGATGTAGTTATCCTACATTACATATGGATTTCAAAATATGCACAAACATACAATTTTTGTTTCAAACTTCCCCTGCCCCCATGAGGGCCAAGTCTGCTTTCTGCCTCCGCAGCAATCACTTCCCAAGAAGGCTAGAATTAACTGGAACGGTTGGTGGATATAGGAAGGAGCCAGGGATCATTTGTTCCCTTCTTAGCACTGGGGCAGATGCTGGTACTGCAGAGACAAAGCTGTTGTTCTGTGACCTCTGAGTACAGAATAGAATTTGGGAAAACAGCAGACTCACCTGTTAGTGCCAGAGCAGTGATGTCAGTCCTTTGACAGGTGGGGGATGGATTGCTCATGCTTGGTCTGAGAAGGCTGTCTTGTTCCCTACATGTTTCCGCAGCATCATTTTTGGAGCAGATTCATCAGGATGAGTGTGTGTGGCCCACCAAGACTGCTGGAGCTGGCTGTGCAAAGCCTGCTGAAGGATGAGGCCTTAGCTATTGCAGCTCTGGAGTTGCTGCCCATGGAGCTCTTTCCACCTCTGTTCGTGGCTGCCTATTCTGGGAGACAAAGTGAAACACTAAAAGCAATCGTGCAGGCATGGCCCTTTGTTTGCCTGCCTCTGGGAGCCTTGATGAAGGAAAAGCAGTTTCATCAGGAGAACTTCCAAGCTGTGCTCAGTGGACTGGATGCACTGCTTTCTCAGGAGGTTCGCCCCAGGTGAGGGTGACATGGCTGTGGTCAGGGGCATGGAGGACAGGGACTTTGTGTGATGCTCTTGAGGAAGCCATTGCTGATGTCTCTCTTCTAAAAATGAGCCGCCAATTTAAGGCACATGCAACTGAAGGAGCCACCAGATAGTGTACGTGCAGCTGAAGGAAAATATGCCATTCTTTCTCAATGGCACTTAAACGTATGAAAAGCAGAGGCTGGGAGTGTATCTCCATGATAGAGTACTTGAGTAATATTTTAGAAAGCCTGGATTCAAAGCACAGCACTGTAAAAACAAAGTGAAATAAGAGAGAGGAGAGTAAGGAAAGAAAAGTCCCAGGGAGGATCTTGGGAGTAGAGATCTTTCAAGGAGTAGAATCAGTTGGGAGAAAGGAAGGTCCCTTAAGGAATGGAGCAGCTGATTTCTGGAGTTCAAGTCAGAGAAATGCTTATTGACTGTGCTCTGAGACTCCTGCTCTTACTTGGAATTTATTACCTTTTTTGCCATAGACGTTGGAGACTACAAGTGCTGGACTTACGCAAGAATGCCCATCAGAACTTCTGGACTGTGTGGTCTGATACCAGGGCTAGTCTGTGCTCATTGATGGTGTCAGAGGATACTCGGCCAGTGAAGACAAAGAAAAAAGTGAATGGTTCCAGGATAAGGGCAGAACAAGCTTTGGTGCCTGTGGAGGTGTTCATAGATTTGTCCCTAAAGAAAGGCAGCTGTGATCAATTGCTCACCTCCCTTTTTGAAAAGGTGAAGCAAAAGAAAGGTTTACTGCACCTATGTTGTAAGAAGCTGAGTATTTTTAGAGTTCCTTTGCAAAATATTAAGTTGCTTGTAAAAATGATACGGCTGGACTCTGTCCAGGATTTAGAAGTGAGTTGCACCTGGACCCTGTCCAACCTGGGGAATTTTGCTCCTCATTTGGGCCAGATGTGTGATTTGCATAGACTTGTGCTCTCCTACATCCATATATCTCCATACACATCTCAGGAAGAGGAAGAACATTGTGTCCACCAGTTCAGCTCTCAATTCTTGAGTCTGCATCACCTCCAGGAACTGTGTTTGGATTCCATCCCCTTCCTCCAAGGCCGCCTTCACCATGTGCTCAGGTAAGTAAGGGCTAGAGCTTGCCAGAGCAAGCCTTTCTTCATTACAGAAGCAATAGTGAGCATCTGCTCTATGCCAGACATGAGGCAAGAATGAGCAAGCCCTTGAAATCAGAATATTTTCCTATACCCAGGTTGGCATTACATAACTATCCCAGTAAAGGTACTACCCAAACGAAGGTTGCAGGTTGTCTTAATGTTTTATATGGCCAAGAATACCACAACAGAGGCTGGATAAATTATTTAAGAAATAGATTTATTTGGGTTCCGAGTTGCAGTCCAAATTTGAGGGGCTACATTCAGTAATGAGTATCTTAATGGCAGTGCAAGGCATTATGACAAAAGACTCCTAACTATGCTGGCCATGGTGGCATTTACCTATAATCCCAGGAATTGGGTGGCTGAGGAAGTAGTTTGAGTAGCCATAGCAAGTTTGAGTTTGAGTCCAGCCAGGGAGACAGTCTCAAAAAAATAAAGGAAGGAAGTGTAGCGAGAACTAGCCAAATCATTTTTTATAGTGACTACTTTTTTTTTTGGTCGGTCGTGGGACTTGAACTCTGGGCCTGGCGCTGTCCCTCAGCTCTTCAATTCAAGGCGAGTGCTATACCACTTGAGCTACAGCGCCACTTCCGGTTTTCTGGTGGTTTATTGGAGATAGGAGTCTCACGGTCTCTCCTGCCCGGGCTGGCTTTGAACCTTGATCCTCAGTTCTCAGTCTCCTGAGTATCTAGGATTACAAGCGTGAGCCACCAGCACCCGGCGTGAAACTACTTTTGAGATAAATCATTACTCCCAAGGATAAATCTGTAAAAAGTCCCATCTGATACCACCTCTGAATGTCTTAAATGGGGATTAACTTTCAATATGAATTTTTGGAGGGATGAACTATAAACTTAGATACATGCTAGTAACAGTGGCTTCCTTAGTAAACTATTTTGAATGATTTGGCTGTGAGGAAGTTAGTTTTGGGAATTTTTCCTTAGGAAATGACTCTTAAGATGACCAAAATAAGTGGTGAGGCACTAAAGAAAAACGTTTCTATTTTCAATTGTACACTCCTCCCAGCTTTTTCAGATTAATCCTCTTCCTTTAAACCACCCTCAAATTTCCCACCTATACAGGATTGTTTGGAACCTAGATTAAAGAATGTGTTGGAAATGAATGACTCATATTAGGTGGAAGATCAGGAGTGAGGAACGGTAAACAGTGATAGGTAGCTTGCCCATAACACAAAGACTGAAGGTTGGTCTCCGCAGGCTGGCATCCCCCTTTGCAATTGCTAACATTTCATGAATGTTTTATGGTAGCCTCCTCCTACACTGAGATATAGGTAGCTTAGGCCCACACATTGGCTAAAGGAAGACTGAACTGGAAGTGTGTTGTTTCTTTTCAAATTATTTTTCCTAATATTGTTGTGTCTCAGAAAATAAAATTCACTGTGAAGTCCTTCCTTGCTTGAGATGGGCTGAGGCTTTTTTGTAAGCAATGTCTCATCATTATCCTGCTTTGCTCTCACAATACCTCGAGGTATGTTTTACTCTGCTCAGCAGACGAGCAAAGGGAGTTCAAAATTTCATTCACTCGACCCAATCACACAAAATAATGGGGAAAGGGCTCCAGTCATCTTGGCCTGCTTTGAATGCCCCTTTAACAATATGGCATATTAGAAGTTGGCTATTCACTTAACGGCTGGATCCTCTCCACCAGCTTCCACCCACTTTCACCAGTCCCTAGCACTAATTGTTCTGTTTCTCTCCAGGTGCCTAATGAGCTCTTTGAAGATCCTCTGGATCACTAATTGCCTGCTTTTGGAATCAGACTTGATGTACCTGTCCCAGTGCCCCAACATCAGTGAGCTAAAGGACCTTGATTTAAGTGGAGTCAATTTAACTAGCATAAGTCTTGAGCCGCTTCAAGATCTGCTAGAGAGAGTCTCCACCACCCTCCAGACCCTGGGGTTAATTGATTGTGGGATTGTAGATCACCAACTTACTGTTATCCTGCCTTCCCTGAGCCACTGCTCTCAGCTCACAGCCCTTAAGTTATATGGGAATCCAATCTCCATGTCCATGCTAAAGAATCTCCAGTGCCAAAACATTAGGCTGATCAATCTAAGCTACATGCTGTATCCTGGACCATTGGAGAGTGACCAGGATATTCCCAGTAACTTCCACCTAGAGAGATTTGCCCACCTGCATAACAAGCTGAAATGGATGCTGCATGAGTTGGGGCATGCCAACATGGACTGGTTCAGTAGCAACCCTTGTCATCATTGTGGTGACAGTACTTTTTATGACCCATAGCCTATCCTATGCCCTGGTACTTGCCTGCTTAGCTGAGTGTACCTATCCACAGCTTTATTTGGCACTTGAACACCAAAGCTCAGACTATAAATTCTAGAAAAAACTTCAGAAGCCACAGTTGTTGAGATCTTAAGGGAGATGCATCTTATAGAATTAGAAATAGGAAAATGAATTTTAGAGGGGGGTTTTGGCAAGGGAGGTACATGTGGGAGTTTGCCTCAAATGGATGGTTGTAAAGAAATGACCAGCAATTAAAGGAACCTTAATATAAACCATTTGGTATACTTCTATAGTTTAGTCCTCTAGAATGTTCTAATTAAATGAGCAGTCACTGAGGATCTATGGTGTATACACACATGCTGTGCTGCACAAACTACTGCCCACAACCTCATGACACCATTTACACCATTCCCACTACACAGTTCTCTCTGAGTATCTATCCCCTCCTTGCTTCTATCTGTATCTGGTCAGTGGGTGACTTACACAAGTAGCATTCTTAGAATCATGGTGCTAAGAGGCTGTCACTGTTACCTGCAGAGACCTGTACTCCCTCTTCCTGTTCCCTGGTGGATTCATAGCCTTGGTTCCCATCTCTTGGCTGTTAGGTATAGGACTTCACTGTGCAGAAGTCATGCAGCAGGTAGAAACTTCTAACATTTTCCCTAATCCTTTCTCTAGTCTTTTCTTCTTTAAAGTATTTTTATTGTAAAGATACTATACAGAGGGGTTACAGTTACATGAGTAAGGTAATGAATACATTTTCTATTGAGCATTGTTACCCCCTCCTTTGTTTTTCCCCTACAGTCCCTTCCTTCCCCACCTCTCCATCTCTTCTCCCCCCACCCAAGTTGTAAAGTTCTTTCAACACAGTGTCTTGTACTGTTACTCATTGTACTGTTACAATGAGTCAACCCGTATCCTTGTTTCAGCATTTTGTTATTTCCCTTTCCCTCCCCAAATTAGAAAAATGTATATACAAGATGCAGGGCACCGACATCAAATACAGTGAAAACAGGGGTTATACCCTGGGCGAGGAACGTGCATTAGCAACTCACACATGTAATTCTAGATACTCAGACTGAGATCTGAGGATCATGATTCAAAGCCAATCTGGACAGGATGGTCCATGAGACACTTATCTCCAATAAACTACCAAAATGCTAGAAATGGACATGTGGCTTAAATGACAGAGTGCCAGCCTGTGAAGCACACATGGCTATTTCTGAGAGGAGTGAATGTTAAAATTGTAAACTCACTGATGTATCTGAAAAATAGGAAGAAGTCTTAATTTTCTTGAGATATACCTTGTTCCAGCATCACTTAGACCCAAGTTGGGCTGGGAAGGTGGCTGAATGATAGGGTGCTTGCATGAAGCCCTTGGTTCAATTCCTCAGTACCACATAAGCAAAAAAAAGCCAGAAGTGGCGTTATGGCTCAAATGGTAGAGCACTAGCCTTGAGCTGAATAGCTAAGGAACAGTGCCCAGGCCCAGAATTCAGGCCCCATGACCGACCAAAAAAAGAAAAGATATAGTTCCAAGTTACAGGGAAAACAGCCTATGTGAAATCTGAAGAAAGTCTATGAAGTAACTATGAAATGAAATCCAGAGAAGATGAACAAAGAAAAAGCATTGCATAGCTTCAGATTTGCTTTTCTCAAGGGGTCATATATGCACCTTCTATTGTCACTGTGAGGGTTCACAAGTTCATGTACTAATTTAAAGTATTCATCAGATTGCCTTGACACAGGTGGTTAAATCCAAGATAGTAATTATAATTCTATGCCTGATAGAAGTAAGGAAGAAAGCAAACACAGCTGCTGTATGTCTTTGTCCATTGTTGCTGCTCTAACAAAACTATGCAAGCTGGATCATATATAAATGATAGAAATTTCTCAAAATTCTGAAGGCTTGGAATGAATATGCACAATATACATTTATGTAGAAAAGGATGTGAAAGGACACTTATTTAGTTGTTTTTATTGTTGGTTTTTTGTGTGCTGGTCCTGGTCCTTGGACTCAGGGCCTGAGCACTATCCCTGAGCTTTTATACTCAAAGCTAGTACTCTACTACTTGAGCCACAGCTCTGTTTCTGGCTATCTGTTGGTGGCTAATTGGAGACAAAAGTGTCCCAGAGATTTCTGCCTGGGCTGGCTTTGAACTGTAATTCTCAGATTTCAGCATCCTGAGTAGGTAGGAATATAGGCATGAACCACTGGCACCCCGTTAAGAGACTAGATTTAAATTTTATCTTTATATTTATTATTAGTATTAAGTAGTTGTACAAAAGGATTATAATTCTCTGTCAGGTGATGAATACAATGCTTCTTGGTCAGTCTGATCCTAGTTTTTAAAATTTGATGTTTTTAAACTATTTGTGCAGAATTATCTCAAATACGGTCTAGATATCATTTATAGGAGTGCTAATATAATGAAAAATTGGGGTGCATTAAACCCTCACTTCCCAAGTACATTTTAGGTAATTATATTGGAAAAGACCTGCAGAAAAGAGGCTCAGTTCTCAGAGGCAATCCGACACTGGTACCCAGGTCTGGGACATCAGAGGGCACTGTGGAATTGGTTCTGAGGGGACCCTTGAAGGATGAACCACACCAGCTAGGGAACCCACTCAGCTTTCTCTGGTGTATTGGACAAGCTGATTCATTACTGCTCTGCAGTTTGCTATGCCTGTTTACGTTATATTATTGTTTTTTTGTGTTGTTTCATTATTATTTGCTGGTTCTGGGGCTTGAACTCAGGGCTGCTGTCCCTGAGATTCTTTTGTTCAAGGCTAGCACTCTACCACTTGAGTCATAGCTCCACTTTCAGCTTTTTTTTGCTGGTTAATTGGAGATAAGAGAGTTTCTTGCTCTGGCTGGCTTCAAACCACAATCCTCAGATCTCAGCCTCCTAAGTAGCTAGGATTCTAGGCATGAGCCACCAGTGCCCAGCTTTATGTATTGTTTTCTATGATTGTCTGATCCTGGGTCTCTTCCCCTATTATTTCTGATTCATGTCCTGTGTTCCCAACCTTCTCCTACTACTCCCAATCACGGAGTTTCTTGACCAGGCCGAGGTAGATGGAATTGTTGAGAAAGTAGTCAGAATATTTTTGCCAGAATTAAGTGCTTCAAAGGGACCCCAGGACAGCTCTGTGACAAGCCCATTATGGCCTCAACTCCAGCTTTGCTCATTGCTGTTCCGAAACAGGAAGGTGACCACAACTTGGGTCTTAGGGTGGACCATGGAGTGCCTCTGTGCTTTGGACATTTGCACCTTACCATTGTAAGGTACTAAGAGGGTAGAGATTTAATCTGATTTATTCGGTAGGCCCCTTTGGGAGGTGATTAGGATTAAGTAGGATTGTTAAGAGTAGGGCCACCATAACTAAATCCAGGTGGCCTCATAAGACCAGAAGACTCAGACCTGTACTCCTCATCCCTTTTCATGTGATATGCTGTGCTACCTAAGACTCTGCCAGCAAGGAAAACCCATCAGGTGTGACTTCTCAAGCCTCCAGCCCTGTAAGTGGAATAAACCTGTATTTTATAAAGCTCCCTAGCTTCATAGCAATGAAAATGGTCAAACATGGTCATGTATGAAAACTCTTTGCCTTGGTACTAGAAGACTTGGCCATCCTTGGTTATTTTGTCTTGTAATAGCAACATCAGTGTGAGTTATATGATGCCTAGAACTAACATCTCAGTGAGCAAACTACAAACCATGATGAATAGTATTTTACCCTCAGATGTCCAAAGCCAATCCTGGCTTCTAGTTCTTTCAATATGGCTTCCCAGAGCTTCTCTGGCCTGTCGTCTAATCCTGTTATCATGGGACAATGGCTTGGTTTCTATATGTAGACACAGATCAGCCACCTGTTGCCCTTGCCCAGACAATTTTTCTGCTGGCACTGTCTGTGACAATGCCATGGCAGGGAGGCTTCTGCTATTGGTACTAAGGATCTTGAGATTTTCTTGAATCTGAGAGCTCTTAAAGTCTTGAGAGTAAGCCATTGTTAAGAGCAAGCTCTCAGCCTGGCCATTTCTGCAAAGACAATGTGTATTGCAGGAGATAATCTCTCCAGGGTAAATAGCAGTGAGAGATGATGGTGACTTACTGAGCCTTGTCCTGGGCCCTCTGTGATCCCCTGAAGACAACAGAATCCAGGGGCAACTCCTCTTATGATCCTCACGATCTTATGATCCTCCTCTTATACTAATCCTAATTTTGATGACCCCTAACTCTGATCCAGGTGAATTGTATTCTTTTCACTGTGATCTCAGTTATGAAAAAGAAAAATGTAACTTTCTCAGTACATCTGGTAACTTTGCTGATAGTTTTAAATTGAATCATTATATAGTATGTGACACAAAACATACAGACCACATATATAATGGTGATGTCATAAGATTTAACTGCTTAGTGATGTCAAAGCCATCTTTACATTGTGTAAATGTACTATGTGATGTTCTCACAATGGCAAAAATCTCACAGACACAATTCTCAGAATATATCCTCATCCTTAAGGAACATAGGACTGTATATAAATATTTCTTTTGTTGTTGTTTGGTCAGCCTGGGCACTGTCCCTCAGCTTTTCAGTTCAAGGTGAGTGCAATACCACTTGAGCCACAGAGCCACATCCAGTTTTCTGGTGATTAATTGGAGGTAAGAATCTCACAGACTTTCCTGCCTGGACTGGCTTTGAACCACGATCATCATATCTCAGCCTCCTGAGTAGCTAGGATTACAGACGTGAGCCACTGGTACCTGGCTGTAAGTAGATATTTCTGTACATTAATAATTAATAATCCTTCAAAAAAGTTCAGAAAACAATTCTGTTTATAAGAGTATTCATAAGAATACTTATGAATGGATTTAACAAGGAAGGATAGGTCTGATGATTTGTACTTCTGTTATTTTATTTATTTTTTGCCAGTCCTGGGGCTTTACCTCAGAACCTGGGCACTGTTCCAGAGCTGGTTTTGCTCAGGGCTAGTGT